ACACCAGTTTTACAGTTTCTACATGTACATTCTTTGAGTTGTACAATCATTCTCATCCTCCTTTTCTAGTTGTTCCTTCCTTGTCAACATAAGCTTAAGGTTCCTACCTAATTTCTCAACTTGTGGTTGTCAATTTGATACCATAAAGATAGTTCTTAAAAGAGTATAATGCTCAAGGAAGAGCTTTTTTTATTAAGCTAAACTATTCTATTTTCAGAATTCACTGGATATTTTTGGTTTAAAAGATTATCTGAGGGCAGTAGTGTCAGGGCTTCATCCACCCTCCGTGGCTCCAGAAAGTCTACAGTCCATGAGAATTTGAAATTCTGTTCTTCATTTTCCCCCTTTTGATTAGGTTCTTCTATGGAATCTTTCATCAAAATATTCAGTAATGGTAGTCAGGCACCATCTGGTTCTGGGCACATAGCAAAGGAAGCAGTTGAATAATTTTTAATTAATAGTTACAGGAAGTATAATAATGTATACCAAGTGAGATTGATCACTGAGAGACCCACACATTGCAGTGAAACTACAGATACAAAATATCAAATAAGGGAGATCAACAGATCTTACACCTTCTTACAGAGGAACAACAAATAGCTGAACTATGCATAGCAATAGTTACAGCTAGAAATAGAATATCAAAATGAAGAAAGTGACTCTCACCAAAAACTATCTTTAGAGAATGAGGCCAAAAGAAAGATATTTTGAGATAAACAATACCTAAAAGTCCTTGTTTTTTAAACCAATAGATTTCAGAAGTGCACACATCTATGTCTAGGGTCTGGATGAAAGCATCACCAGCATCATTGTAGAAGGAAAGACTAGGATGCAATAAGGAATGGTGAACAAAGGGCAAGTACGAAGGTAAATCACAGAAAGTGAAGCAGTGGTGTTTTATATATGAGACTTCAAAACTTACGTCTAAAATCCTGGGAAAGAGTAAAAGAGTTGTTTGGAATTTAAATGTTTATTTACATCTCAGTAAAGTTAATTATCAATAAAAATGGTAAGTGCAAACCATATGCAATAAAGAATATCACAAAACCTACATCGAGCATCATACTTAATGACTAGAAACTTGATGCTTCCTTCTAAAATAGGGAACTAGGCAAGAATGTTCCCTCTTACCGTTCCTGTACAACACTGTAGTAGAAGTATTGTTGTTGTTGTTGTTGTTAAGTGCCGTCGAGTCGTTTCCGACTCATAGCGACCCCATGCACAGCAGAACGAAACACTGCCCTATCCCACGCCAGCCCCACAATCCCTGCTATACTTGAGCCCGTCATCGCAGCCACCGTATCAATCCATCTCGTTGA